TCCTAAAGAAGGAAGAGGGTGGCAGGTAAAGCCACGAGAACAAGTAACTAACATAGATCTTTATGGAAGATTAGAGGGTCATTTAGACTTAAAGGAGTTTCCCGAAGCAAAGGAACTAGAATTTAGTGGGAAAGAAATAACTAGTTTAGATTTGAGCAATAATAAAGAATTAGAAGTAATTAAAATCTTTGATAATTATAAACTTAACGGAGACTTAAGCATCTTCTCCCATCTAACGAAGTTGAAATATTTAAGCATTTCGCGTTGTCCTTTTACCGGAAATTTAAAATCTTTGCATAATTGCACTAAATTAGAAGTGTTGCATATTCAAGGCACGCAAATCGTGGAAGGTTTAGAATATTTACCTCTCGATAATTTAAAAGAGTTTTGGTGCAGTGGAAAACTAAAAGAAGAATTAAAACCATTTAATGACGATGTGCGGGCTTGAAAATTGGCTAACTATCCCCACTTGTTCGCTGATAGTAGAGAAAAAATAGAAAAAGAAATAGCAGAAACTCAAAAAAAAGTAGAAAAACTAGCCAAATCTGAATGCTATGTGCAGTGTGGCTACACTTGACATTTTAGTGATTGTCTGGTTAAAATTAGACAAGATTTAGAAACCAAAGTCAAAACTTTGCAAAAAAAGTTAAAGGAAATTCAGACCAGAGGAGGAAATAAAGACAAAGATTCTGAAGAGAAAACTGAAGATTCGGAAGGTGACCCCGAGAAGAAGTTAGAATTAGAAAAATTGACGCTAGAAGAGCGAGTAACCAGGCTAGAAATGATGGAAAAAAAATTTTTTGCTTTTATCGAAACCAAGAAATAGGACGGTTGAAATAAGTGAAAAAATTAATATATAATATAGGACGAAATAGGAAAAATATTAGATATGACAGTAGAAAATAATTCAAATATAGTTACCGAACAAGTAGTTTCCAACAATAATCAACCGCCAATTCAATCTTCACCAACGGTTCAAAAAACTCAAAATGAGTCAGTGAAACCAACTGAGACAACAAAAGATTTAACTGGTGCTTCTTTAGAAGTTTCGACTAGTGATGTAGATATGCTGAGAAGTGTTGCTGGTGTCAATGCTAAACCATATATCGACAGTTTCATTACTAGAAGCAATAAATTGTTGCAAGAAAAAGACAATATAATTGCTAAATTAACTGAAGAAAAAAATTTTTGGAAGACTCAAACCCAACGTTATAATACTATTACTATGCTTTCCGAATATGGTTTTAATGCCGATGAGTACGAAGATATTTATAGATTGTGCGAAGGTAATATCACTCCAGAAAAACTAGAAGACTTAAAAGCGAAGAACAAATATGCTTTCCTCCTTACCAAAAGAGGTGCCCAACAACAGAGTCGAAGTGAAACTGAAAACAAAGACCGATTATTTAGTGATTTAATAAAAAGCAAAAGAAAATTTTAATAGAGATGAAGTGGCGCAGTTTTTACGCCAGTAATTTCTGCGCCTTATAAATTAAA